TATATATATATTACTATATATATGAAAAATTAAATGTTTAAAAAACTAATACTTATTATTAAATTGGAAAACAGTTCATTATATTTAATAAATACATTTTTTAATATTATTTAAATGAAATTTTATTTATATTTCATAAAAAAAATTTGAGGGGATTTATATTTTATAAAATTATTACATAAATAACATTACTTGTGTCATTAATATTCTGGTTCTTTAATGATGTCTGACACCCAAACAAATATTATTAATATTAATATATTAATTCTTCTTTAAACATCATTTAATATATTAAATATAATTAAATTAAATTAAATATAATTAAATTAATTTAAATATAGCTATTTTCCTAATATTAAGGTTATTTTGGTATTTTTTTTCTTATAATCATGATATTGGCAAGAATAAAAATAGGAACATTTATTTTTGGTTCTTGATTTTTATTGTTCGACAATCAAGATAGTTATATCTTATTTATTTTTTTGTTCTCAATTTTTTAAATTCTATTTTCATTTTTAACTCTATAATTTTTTAAATCTTAATTTTTTATTGAACCTTTATTCTTTCCTACATTCAATACAAGGTACAAATTAATGTGTTAAATTACATTTTTAGTTTATATTTTTTTGTAATTTATTTAATATTACTTATGTACAAGTAGTTGGTCAATTTATTTTTTTTGCAAGTTACACACATCACTATCGAATATCGTGGATGATAGAGAATGGAAGTATTCCATTTAGTTTAAATTTTTCATACTTTCAAAAAAAAATTCCAAAAGTTTTTCTTTTAGTGTTCCGTAAAATATTTTATGAAAGTATGTAAAAAATGCAATTATAAAAAAATGCTCTTCATAATGCTAATTTTATTATACTGGAAAGTAATTTTTGAAACATTAAAATTAATGTTTTGGAAAATATTTTTAGAATATTAAATTTAATGTTGTGATTTTCTAAAGTATGTTCATGAAATAAGTTATAACTAACTAGAACACATGAATGTCGAGGACGGGGTGTGTGAAAGAAAAGGAAGTGTTTGGATATTAAATATGCATTTGGCTTTATACCTTCAACATTGTAAAAGAAGTTGCACCTACTTATAATATTGTTACGCACCAGTTTCAAGGTTTGGGTCTGAGTGAAAACTATAAGAGGGGAGTGAGAGTATCAATGTGCAAAGTGAAAGGAGGAGGTGGAAGAAGATAATATGAAAATTAAAAAAAAAGTTAAAATTACCTACTAAAAAAATGAATAATTGATGAAAGATAAGGAATTACATGTGAAACTTGAAAAAATGAAGGGAAAATGCAAGTTATAAAGAAAGACAAGGTTCTAAATTGAACTTTGGAGGTATGAAATTTAAAAATTAGAAAATAAAAAAAATTAAGAATACTCAAAAAAATTAAAAAAGAAAATATAGTGTATTTATAAAAAAAGGTGTGTATAAATAAATAAATAAATATATATATATATATATATATATATATATATATATGTGTGTGTGTGTGTGTGTGTGTGTGGCGGGGGGGGGGGGGGGAGATTGTTAACATTCTCTAATTTATTAGTTAACATACTGCTACCTATTTTTTAGTTAAAGAATAAAAATATTTCCTCTCTTTTATTAACTTCATTCTCTAATTTATTTATCTCTCCTAATAAATTATTCCTCCAACTCATTTATCTCTCTTATTAAATTTCTTTTCCAACTCATTTTTCTCTCACCTCACAATGTCCCACCTCTCTCCTCTATGTAAACAAATAAAAATTAATTATTAGAAGAGATAAATGAGTTGAAGAATGAAGTTAATAGAAGAAATAAAATATTTTTATTTTCTTTTAAATTAAACTAAATTACTATAATATCTTTTATACAAATAAACCAAATAAAAAATAATAATTTTTTTTATAAAATTTTGGTATAAGTTGCTAACATATTTCAACTAAAAAATAAGTAAAAATATATTAGTAATCCTCATATATATATATATATATATATATATATATATATATATATCTAATTCTACGATGTAACATATATGATGTTTAGATCGATATATTATAGTAATAAGTTGAGTTGATACATTCTTATCTTAAATATTGTTGGACCTCGATTATATTGAGTTCAAATTTACAAATTTCATCATATCATATTTTTTGCTCAAAACAAATTTGTCCTAACCTATTTGTGGAACGTTTATACTCTTAGACTCTCAAGCATAATGAGAAAATCCACATTTATAACAAACAAGTTTTTAATGGATTAAAATTAGTTTTTTTATGAGTTAAAAAACTTTTAGAAAAAAATGAGAATATTTTAATAAATTAATTTATACATACATTAATTTTAACTTATTTTTTAAAAAACTTTATGAAGAAGTATATCCAAATATAATTATAAAAATTCATGTGACATGTCTAAAAGATTGTGAAAAAACACAAATGAAATTTCAATTAGATAAACTTATTTATTTGAAAATATCTTGACACTTAAGACTTGTATTCCTCTTGCTTATGTGTGTGTGTTTTATATTTTGTAAGTTCATGTTAAGAATTTTTATTTCCTAGAAACACCTTTTCTCTTGCTTTTGTTATCTTTAATTTCCTTATTGATAAAAAAAATAACTTGTACTTCTAGTTTAGCTATTAAAGACCACGTTTTTTCCTGCTAGTATTTATTGAACCTTTCTAATACTTATTTTTTCTATTTAAACAACATTTATTACAAAAAAAAGGTATTCAACTAACCCAGAATGCCAAGAAATCTTTGTGAGGATTGTCCACTAAAAGAAATTTAGTAGTGTCAAAAAGGAAATTACACATGGATTTGCAAGTATGTAAAAAATATTATACTGATATATTATAACAAAATTCTAATAAAGATAGCACTTAAAAAACTCTATGTTACATAGTAAGTGTCACATTAGATTAAAAATAAGTCTCAAAATAATTATTATTATATTAACTTTTTAATATAATATTAATTATTTTTTATTTATATCTTTAATAATATTATGTAAAAAGTGAATCCTTATTGCATGATTTCTTTAAAAAAATTATAAATTTAATTTTATAAAATAATATTAACTTTTTTTTAAGGGAAAATAATATTAACTTTTGTTAATCTGAATAAAACAATTTAGAACAATCCTGATAAAGGTTTCGTATCAATGAAACCTTGGAATTCGGGATGGCCTTAAACAAACATTCCTTAAATGGGTGTTTGGTTCGCGTTAACAACATACAAAACTACATTTAACAGAAAAAACAAAAAAAATGTTATTTTTTGGTTTGTTGTTTTGGAATGTATGTTTCTGTATTTCAACCAAATTCAATTATAAAAATCGAAGAAAAGAGGAACATTGCATTACACGCTTTTGAAGTCTTGAAGAGACATTTCTAGTCATTTCCGAAGCAGTTTAACTTATGAATCTCAACCGTTAGTTTCTTCTTCAATCACATCATAAAATAGTTTAAAATTAAACTCATAACATTTAGCGGTGAGAGGATCCAAATCCAGTCCCACACACCGAAAAGCGAAAGCTGGTTAGATATATTTTGCAGTGCGTACGTGGAGTGCAGTGATTCACATATTTTAGACCAAAACTGCTTCACCTAATCTTATACACTTTTTTACGAGATTGGCAAAAAGACAAGAGAATTGTCATACGCTCGTAAGCTCCAATGGCAGAGGCAGCAAAGAAAAAGGGGCACATAGTGATGGTGCCCTTCATGGCACAAGGGCACATCATACCATTCCTTGCACTAGCAAGGCAACTCGAACAAAGAACAAACTTCACCATCACCATAGCCAACACCCCGCTCAACATTCAATACCTCCGATCTGCCATTTCTTCTTCAAGTCGAATCCGTCTTGCTGAGCTACCCTTCAACGCTGCTCAACATGGTTTACCACCTAACATAGAGAACGCAGAGAAGCTACCTCTCACTCACGTAGTCAACCTCTTCCACTCCTCACTCAGCCTTGAGGCTCCCCTTCGCTCCCTTGTGTCACAGATCACACAAGAAGAGGGTCAACCTCCCCTTTGCACAATCTCTGACGTGTTCTTTGGCTGGATTAACCTCGTTGCAAAGAGCCTAGGCACTAGGAACCTAACCTTCACCACTTGTGGTGCTTATGGAACTTTGGCTTATGCCTCCATCTGGTCTAACCTCCCCCACAGGAAAACTGACTCTGATGAGTTTTGGGTTCCGGGGTTCCCCCGAAACTACAGATTTCACCGCACTCAGTTGCATAGATATATTAGAGCAGCTGATGGCACTGATGAGTGGTCAAGATTCTTCATTCCACGGCTTGCACTTTCTATGGAGTCTGATGGGTGGATTTGCAACACGGTTGAGGAGATAGAGCCTCTGGGGTTGCAGCTTCTGAGGAAGTATGTTGGAGTTCCTGTTTGGTGTGTTGGTCCTCTCTTGCCACCTGATGCACTCAAGGGTTCCAAACACCGTGTAGGAAAGGAACCTGGCATAGCTCTTGAAGCATGCATGGAGTGGCTGGACCTAAAGGATGAGAATTCCGTTCTGTACATTTGTTTTGGGTCGCAGAACACGATCAGTGCCTCACAAATGATGGCGTTGGCTGAGGGGTTGGAAGAGAGTGGGAGATCGTTTATTTGGGTCATTAGACCACCTTTTGGTTATGACATCAATGGAGAGTTCAGGGCAGAATGGTTGCCGAAAGGGTTTGAGGAGAGAATGAGGGACAGCAAAAGGGGCTTGTTGGTGCACAAATGGGGACCCCAGTTGGAGATTCTGTCACACAGATCCACAGGAATGTTTTTAAGCCATTGTGGATGGAACTCAGTGTTGGAGAGTCTCAGCTATGGGATGCCCATGATTGGGTGGTCACTGGCTGGAGAGCAAGCATACAATGTGAAGATGTTAGTCGAGGAAATGGGTGTGGCTGTGGAGCTCACTCGATCTGTTGAATCTGTCATTTCTGGGGAGCAAGTGAGGAAGGTCATAGAAATAGCTATGGACCAAGAAGGCAAGGGAAAGGAGATGAAGCAGAAGGCAAATGAGATTGCAGCTCGCATGAGAGAGGCCATAGCAGAGAATGGTCAAGAAAAAGGGTCTTCTGTGAGAGAAATGGATGATCTTCTTAGAAACATTTTATTATCCAAGGCTCTATGATTTGCTACATTTAGAATTTGAATAATGATGAAGTTGTTTGTGTAAGGATACTTTTCTAACTACTCCGATCTTTAAAATAAGGCTAAAGGCTCTGATAATGATGCTGTGAATATCACAACTCATTTTAATTGATGATTTGAAAACAATATATATGGTGAATGAATTTCCATATGTTAACCTTTTAGTTTAATAATTATAAATTGTATGGATGAATTTAATAATATATTTAACTCCTTCCTGTTTTATGTTCGGAATTGTGTCATCACCCCCCCTCCCCTTCTCTGTTTGAAATGCAAATTCTCCATACAATTCTGTCTATCTAATTTTCTACGTCCTCCTTTGATTTTGCAGCAGAATTGGATAAAATTAAGCTTAAAAAAAGTGAAGAAACTATATTAATACATGTTTTTTTAACTAGAAAGTGTAAAAGTCAATTTTCTAACATTCAATCAAACAGGACTTACGTCAATAACTGATTTCAGCAAAATTTTCACTGCCGTATATTGGTTGTTTGATATTAATTTTGCATGAGTTTAATTTTTATACACTATTAATATTTAAAAAAATCCGTCCCAACTAATTAAAAATTATGTTAAGTATAGCTTTTAAGATAACTATTAGAAAAAGTTAATAAATATAAAAAGTGTAATTGAAAAACAATATAATAATCATTTACTGTCATCGCATTTAAATTATATTTATTTAGTATTTGCAAATAGCACCATTTATTCAAGTTTGATGTTACTTTAATATCTAAAATTACCCTTCATATCTTTCGGTGCATGTTTATATCCAAATAAGTATACATAAACTAAAAAAAACTGCTTCAATTATGATTATTTTTTTGTGAATAATTGCTATTGGTAATCTAATGTTGTCACCAAACATGATTTCTAAAATTCCACTCTAAACAATACCTTCTTTGTTTGTTTCTTTTTCCCCTCCAAATTCCTAAACCCATTTCTACTCATTATTTTCGGTCATTTGGAGAATGCTCAACGCCGGTGAGGTGTGAAGGATTTTCCAAACGGTTCCTATAAAGTAAATCTGTTGCCTATGATATGATACATAAGTAACTTAGACAACAAACTTACACATAAACAGAGATTTCACTACATTTTCTAAGCCATTTGTGTATTGAGTGGTCACCATGTGACCATCAAGATTAGTAGTCACGAATCCACCCAGGTTTGAAACAAAATTTACTGCTTCACTTCCGAGGCCTTTTTGATAGAGATTCTGTCTGTGCATCGCCCTGCAAAATTTTAGCGTATAAATAAACATTAATACACACACAAAAAAAAAAGGCACTCTAGTGTGATAAGTTATAGGTTAAACTAAAAAGGGAATTCTGATAAGAATATGAATATGTATGTAAATTGTTCTTAAATTAAAATATAAATTGTAATTTTATTGTAATATACAACAAAATACACTTAAATAAACATAAATTTTAATAGGATTATTATGGCGTGCTTCATAAATTAGTTATTAGAATGTTTTAAAAGCAAAAAATCCCACCACAGTCGCCTCGGAACACGAGTTACTGGCTCTTTCTTATGCCTGTGACCGGCTTCTGTGTTTTTATAATTTCAAACAAGAACAATCGTTGCCATACAAGATTTTTTGTTCAAAACAAAAAGTAATTTTTAAGAACAATAGACAAACAAAGACTCTGTATCCTGGTGGAAAACTAAAGTTGTATGGTTGATACCGTACTTTAGAAAACATTTATTCGCACTTTGGTATTTAGGTAATAGAAAACAACTTACAGGACACGAAAGTTGCTCACGAATGTAAGCCATTGATCGTAGCACAGCACCCAATGTGTCCTTGGACACCTGAAACTTAACTTCACACACACCAGAAGTTGACTCGGTATCTGGAAACTGAAAAACAGTTTAAAGAATTTTAACAATCTATAAGTTTGTCAAAGTACATGACCAAAAATCATAGTAAACATTTTCAAAAGACAGAAAGTGGGATTCCCATGCAATAACAATTGAGACAAGTAAGGAACATGCACCAACCCCCAATCCCCCAAAAAATAAGAAATAATACAATTGATGACACACTAGTTTTTGCTTTTGTTCTCTTATCTTTCCTGCTATTCTTTATGGGAAGAGGGACACACAAGACAGTGAGGGGAAAAGTATACAAAATAACAAACAAATGAACACTCTTTTATATAGACCTATGACCTATCAGTGAACAGGTCTTACATGATTTCCATGATAATTCACCCTAATCAAAGAAAAATGTTTGAAACATCCACATTGAACACAAGCATTACTCCCAAGTGTTCTTTGCATCAAAATATGGCCTCCAAGTCAGAAAGTCAATTCCTGTTCAGTCTTCAGATACAAAGGAATGATGCAAAGTACTTACATTATCCCTACGTATGTTCTTTATATTTTAAATTGACTTTGGTTACATCAATTATAGGATATTAAAGTCAAAATCAAGTCTAATGCCGTACCATGATATGGCAAGTTATGTGCCTCAACAGCACCATGTCATTTTATAAAGCTACATTATCAAAACATCCTGTTTGATACTTTCTTTAATAGCGAATGTGAATATCCTCATACTTAACAATTTCCCTGATAATCAATCTCATTGACCTTACCACCAGCCTCTGGAAAACAACAGACCAGTTCTGTTCATATGTTGTCAATTTAAATAAAATTAAAATTCTCTTCCTTAGTAACATAATCAATAGCATGTGCTCGTTAACCAAAACCTTACATTATAAATATCAATCAATATTAATATCTGCCCACCCCGAATTACGCCACTCAGGAAGAAGAGAAGTACTTTACCTATAAGGAATTAGCTTTTTCATTCTTGAAGGGTAGTTTCTAAAACTATTTACTTAAATGAGGTTGTTTTGCAACATTTTACATCTATAGGGTTGCTTTTTATAGTAGGGTTGTTTTTTATAGTGGCAATGGCTTGTAACAACCTAAGTGACATGTGTATGTTTTTTAAAATTTTTTTTGAACGAGGCGTTTTAACCGTACTAATGTCGCTACAGCCAATAAGATACTAACAAGATCTTTATCAACTGTAGCAACTTGTTAAATGATGTCACATGTAGAGTTCTTTTTTTTTTTTTTCTGGTTGCTAGGGGTCACAACACTATTATTTTTCTTTTTGGAAAATAAATAAGTAAATAAAAAAAAAGAAGGGGGGATGCTAAGGCCACTAGCAACCCCAATTTTTTTTAAAATAATAAAAATTACATAAAATTAAAGAAAAATTAAAAAAAGAAAATAATATATTTTTATAAAAAAAATTGGTATATTTGTTAAACAAATCTTTCACATTTTTTATTTTTTAAAATAAATTATCTTTATTTATCAGGCTTTTAAAAATAAATAAAAAACAAATCAGAAAAATAAATAAGTAAATAAGTAAATTTAAAAAGAGAGAGAGAGAGCAGGGGGTCGCTTGTCCACCAGCAACCCCCAAAATTATTTTTAAAAAAATATAAAAAGTAATAAAAAAGTTTACATAAAATTAAAGAAAAATTAAAAAAGGGAAAGTAATATATTTTATAAAAAAAAATACCTATATTTGTTAAACGAATCTTGCATACAATTTTTTTTTAAAACAAATTATCTTTATTTATCAGTTAAAAAAAAATTATATTAAAAAAAATAAATAAATAAAAAGAGGAGGGGGTTGCTATGGCCACCAGCAATCCCCAAAATTTTTTAACAAAATTAAAAAAGTAATAAAAATTACAAAAAGTACATAAAATTAAAGAAAAATTAAAAAAATGAAAGTAATATATTTCAAAATTTTTGGTATATTTGTTAAACAACTCTTGCACGTATATTTTTTTTTTAATTTTTTAAAATAAATTATCTTCATTTATCAGTTTTTTTTATAAAACCAGAATAATAAATAAAAAAATTAAAAAAATACAGGGGTTTCACGGGATATAGTGACTCTTTAAAAAAAATTAAAAACAAGATCTAACAACCAAAAAAAACATTAGCCTGATAGCGACTAAATATACTCACTATTGGCTTTAACGACCTCTACTGAATGACTTCATGGCTCGGAAAAAAAAAAAAAAAAAAAAAAA